TTTTTATAAGTAATATTAGCAAAATGACAAGTCAAGTTACAAGTTTTACAAGTAACATTGATAGAATAAATGTAACTTCTTGTTTTTCTTGTAATGTTACCTGTAAAAATTATAACTTAACTTGTTATTCTGCTAATATTACTTGTAAAAATTATAACTTAACCTTTATTATAGCAATGTTACTTATAAAAATTATAACTTGTCTTGTTATTTTATTAATATATTTGAAAAACGGTAACTTGACTTGTTGTTATAATAATATTATTTGTAAAAACTTCAATTTGACTTGTTATTCTTAGTAACATTATTTATAAAAACCATAACTTAAGTTTTATTTTACTAATATTAATTATACTTGTAGGGCATTTTGGTCAAGTAAGAAAATTTATTTCATTTCAATGCTCCCAGCCTATAGTGAAATTTTAGAAATTTTTTAGGACCCAATTGAAATTACATCACATCCAAGAGATTTTAATAAAATTCTCCCTTTCTAGAAGTTGAAAGTTATCTACCCAAACAGGGTTTTATAAAAAGTGAGAACTCATCATATAAGAATATAGGTGAAAATAGACCAGGTCGAGCCAGACTTTGATCAAATAGGATTGAGCCTGACCTAAAACTTGTATAAAGTTTTTTTAACACTTGAAGCTTGAAAGCCTATTTAAAAGTCTACTTAAGAGTAAACACTTTAAATAGGCTTGCGTTTTAGTTTTAAATGTTTCTAATGTACTTTAAGACTATTATAATACATAATATGTAGCTTAATTTATCAATTGCAATATATAATAATTAAAAGGATTGACCAATTATAATACAATATAACAATAAAGAAACAACATTAAAATTAATAGGGTTAAGGGTCATTTTTGTTCCTAAACTATACGTGAAAGTTTACAATATTCCTAAACTCAGCTATGAGTCATTTATATCCCCGAACCTCAAATATCTTTTTTTCATATCTATACTATTTTTCTCATCCATTTTTTCCATTAGTGGGGCTTATTTTTGAATTTTTTAAAATTTTTTATTATAAAATATTACTTGTGGGGCCTATATTACTTTTTTATATTTTTTCATCCCCTCTCATCCTCTCCTTTCCCCTCTCTCTCCTCTCTTTCTTAGATCTGCAACTCAATTCTCACAGTCTCACACTCTTCATCTCTCCCCCTTTTACCCTACTATCTCCCTACCTCCTCCACCATCATATCCGCCTTCCTGAACCTTGTAACATCAAGGGAAATAAGACCTTAGTAAAATCTAAGAACTCATGAGTTAGAGGTTTGATGGGGGTCTTAGTGTCCTTTAGGATAAGGTGTTAACCTAGGTTTAAGGTTGAATGAGAGTGGGAGGACTTGAATTAAGTGGGGTTAGACTATGGCACTTGCCTCGATGAATGGATGAGCTTGTTGGGTTAAGAAGCACAAGACTTGTTAAGGTGAGTAGAGTACTTGAAGAACTTATAAATAAACATCTCGGCCAAAAATTAGGACTAAAAAACACTTTCAAACATTTTAGAGGTGCGGTATTTGAGTATTCTTTACCAGGGTTAGCCTCCAGTAACTTAACAGGCCTCGGTTGAGTCAAATTTTACCAAAGTAAATCCTCTATGACTAATCTACACTTTTTAAATTTTTATCTTATAAATTTAATGTTTAGATCTTGCCTTAGGCTTAGATCTTAAATTTGAATTCTTATAGTGTATCTATCTGAGTCTCAAAAAGTGTTCAAACTAGTTCAATGATTTATACAAAACCTATCTATTGTGTGAGCTCGTCTTATAAACTATCATGATCTAAGTACAAGAGAACTCGAGAGTGAAAGATTGAACCTTTAATCTCTTAAAAGTTTGAGGTAATTGAGAATTTAAATTAATATATACTATAATCTGCAACACTACTTGGGAGATTGTGTATGATGTCTTACTTATTAATATACACATTGCATTTAAGATGTAAAACCTGATTCTAAGTAATGATCTGTGTATCGTGTGACTTTGTAATCGTGTTCTAAGTACATGAAATAAGATTAATTGTCAACAAAAATGCCCTATTGTATGATATGCGTGTGTGAAAGCATGGAATTGTGAAGTACTAAAATTGCATTATGATATATGAACTCTGTATGAAATTTTGATATGAGCTAGGTATGCATATGGATCCTTAATTATTTGAATGCATGTATAAATATGGGAGTTCACCTGTAAGAGAATTGTAAATATTATGAAAAATCCATGGCTTGCTTACGAGGTTGCCTCTCAGTGGTGATTTATATGAATGTGTGCTTAGTTTCACTGCTCAGACTAGCAATGTTAGTTAGGCACTTGCTTAGGTTCACTGCTCAGATTGATAGTATTGGTTGGCGTATCATGACACCTGAAATTTGAGCAAGGTTAACCACAGTTCAGATTGGAGTGAGAAAGCCTTTAGCTAAGCAATCCCTCTTGACTTGGAGAACAGAATTGACCTAATGATGTTAACTAGAGCTACAGAGGATTGCTTATGAGTTTAGTTAGAGGTCATAAAGAGGTTGTAAGGGGAATTTAAGCATGCATTATCTAATATATAATTTCTTGTGAATTATTATGAGATTTAATGATTGATGTAAACTCTGAGTGATGATTTATATATGGCTTTGGGTTAAGTATGTGGGCAATATAATTGTATGTTACCATTATTTTATATGTTAAATTAAATACCCTAGCTATTGAGATTTTCTATGAAATCTCACCCCATTACTTTTATTATTTTTTGGAGAAAGAAAAGGCAAGGAAGGGGGCAAGACCTCTAGAACAAAACACTAAAGCTTATAAGCTTTTGGTGAAATTTTTATAGTGCATTTAAGTTAAAAATTTTCCAACTAGAAGGACATGTAGTTCATATTTAATTTATGTTATTTATTTGATATATTATGGCCTCAGTTGATTTCAAGGGCCTTAGCTTATCTTTAGATGTGTGAGAAGATTCAATTTAGGTTTTAGCTCTATTTCATATTGTAAGACTCTAATTTAATTAAAAGCATGCTTGGGAATTCTGGTATGATTTATATGATTTAATGTGATTGATTTTGATCTACAAACCTTTAGTATAAATTGTATTTTATCTAAAATTGTTGTGATTTGGTCAAAACTGAATGCTGTGAGACAAGTTACTCACTTCGGCAAGTGGAGCACGGGCTTAGGCAAGTAAGTGGCTTCTTGCCGAGGCGAGTAAGTACTTATTGGGATGAGTAAGTACTTGCCAGGTTAAGTGAGGTAAACCCTCGCCGAGGTGACTTGTATTGTTGGGTACGACAAGTAGCCAAAGGCTAAGGTAGAGAAGTATTCTCTATATGATTATTGTATTCTCTTAATTTAAGTTTCACATAACATAAGAGGAAATTTACTTGCCGTAATTAATTAGTTTATCTATCATAAAGGTTAGCCTAATCGTGACATTGTACTATTATGTAGGGTATTGATAGTAGTAACTTGGGTCATTTCAAACCTCCTGTCATCTCCATCAATACTCTATGCTTCAACACATTATTCGCCTTATGTATAGAGTGTGTGCGTGCGAGCAAAGAGAGGGATGAAACAAAAAATTTAGAATTTAACTAGCATTAGGCTCTAACTGGTGGCGAGTAAGGAGTGTGTGCCATGAAAACGAACACGAACTAGAGTGTTTGTGTGTGAACAGGGAGTGTGTGCAGCGAATGTGGGAGAGAAAGAGTCAGTTTAGTAAGGAGCGGAGGAGAGAGGGAGTGAATGGAGGAGTGAGAAAGTGATTATGTGAGCTTCCAAAGGACTAGTAATGAATGACGAGGGTTAGTAGAGCAGGGTGAAGCAATGCCGTTAAGCTCTCTTACTTTTTATATCCCAGGCTTTTCATGATGGAAATGAGAGTGGCAAAACAGGGAAAGTAAAGCATAGTAGTAAGATGAATAAGTAATAAATGACAATGGTTGGTAGAGAAAAACAGTTGAGAGCTCTTGCTTTTTGTCTCCCAAACTTGTCACAGCAGCAAGATAAATGAGGTAGTTATGCGACCAGAGATGATAGTGTACTATAGACATGCATCCAATGGTGAAGTTGGGTAGAAATGAATGAAGGAAGGAAAGAGTTGAGAAATCTAAGAAGGATAGGGAGGGTGAGAGGGAAGGAGTGGGGAAGGAGAGAAGGAAATTATTGAAAATTTAAATATAGGTTCCACTAATAAAAAAATAAATGAATAAAATAGCAGGGTAATAGAATAAAAAATCCTTGAGGTTGAGAGATATAAATGTCCTATAATTGAGTTTATTGACATTTTTAACCTTTTGTGTATACTTCAGGAGTAAAAACGACCCTTAACCCAAATCAATATATAAGGCAATATGACTAAAAGCTAAGTAAAAAAAATAGATTAATTAAAAATTAAATGGCGAAGCAATGTGTTTGTGATATATTATATAATGTGTATATGTATGAATAGTCTAACTTGTTAAGCTTATAGGTAAAGGTGAAAATATGAGCTAACCCAACTTATATGATTTGACAGAAATGTGGGTTGAATTGGGTTCAACCTGTTTTTAATATGAGTTGAAAAAATCTTAACCTATCTTAACCCTCGAAGGTTGGCGAGTTAAATAGACTAACTGCTAACCCATTTATTTAATTTTTTAAATTTTTTATATTATGATTTATTATAAATGTACCAAAACCCGAAATGATCCCCATCTCCGTTTGATGTCCAACCCTAACACGTGGCCCACTGTATCAACGCCAGCCAGTCAGCGCCGTTCTTCGAAACCGTCTTGCTGACCCTCACTCACTGGTCGCTGCTCTCATCCCTCTGTCCAATACTAACAAATGGCAGCTTTTCCTTTTTATGTTTCCTTGAAAATGCAAGAGAAAATTCAAGCTTTCTCCCCTCTTTTCTTTTTCTTTGTTTTTTTTTGGATTGAAATTAACGGCAAATTTTTACGGGTCGACAAACAGTCACGGTTACGGCCTTGTGAGGCTACTCCACTCTGTCCTTGCTCCACGTCCCCTTCCCTACCTCCAAAAGGCACTCTCATTTTCTCACCCATCTCTTTACTTCGTCATTTCTTTATGGAGGCCTTTTCTTTATCAACATTCTCTGCCTCTCAAAATTCTCGCTTTCTTCTCCTTCTCTTCAAGTCTTCTGCCTCGCTCTACACTCTTAACTTCGTCGTTCTTTCCTCCCCAAAAGATTCAACTTTCCCTTTTACTTCCTCAGATCAAAATTCCTGTGTTTACGTCTGTTTCGGCTTCGAGTTTTGATTTTGCGGGAATCATACGCGTTTATTCGCTGCTCCCAATATGAGCTCGGCGGAAGGTAATACGGGGGAGTCTGTGAGGTGGAAGGAGTGTATCACGGAGTTCCTGAAAGGTGCGGCGGAGATGGCAGTGGAGTGTGGGAAAGGCTGTAGGGATATCGTGAGGCAGAGCTTGGTGAACGAGGACTCATATATTGCGAGAAAATTTGGAAGGGATTCCTATTTGACCAAGAGGATAAGAGGGCCCTGTGAAAAGTTACGTGGGAAATTGAGTTTCTTCAACGAGTACTTGCCGGAGGATAAGGATCCGCTGCACGCATGGTCGGTTATATTCTTTGTTTCGTTGATCGCATTTGCAGGTGAAGTTGAATATCGTATTTGTTTTAAAAATTTATTCATATTTTTGGGACTTGAGGATTTAGAGAGTAGCATTGTTAAAATTGAGGACTTTTTTGGGGTCACTGCTCACTTGAGAAGTGAAACAGTTGGATAGGAGGAGGGAAGTGGAAGTGTTAACTAAGATGATAACCTTTATTTTCTCTTCCATTAAGTTGCGATATATGTTCCTTTGCCGTAGATTAGACTTGTGAATTTATTTATTTGTGCTTATCAAGTAAAGTTATTTTGCTTACGTGCGTTTTTCTTTTTGGTATGACTTCTTGGATTTTGATATGGATTTAAAGTGCTGCCGTGTGTTCGTCCGGGGCCTCTCACTTCAAGAAGCCGAATTCATACATGAGTTTAATCGGAGATTGGATTAGTGTCCGGGCAATCCCGAAAATAATAAACAAGCATAAAGCTTTTTTCAATTAGTGGATAAGTTGGAGAAAACCTCTTGTTGCAAAATCTTTTATCTATCCAAATTAGGTCATTTGTCTTCTGTACAATGGTAGTACACGTCACACTAAAATTGGTAGCTCAGATGTGAACGATATAACCGTACAAGAATTAAGCTTCAAAAAGAGTTCGTGTAGAGGATTCCTCATAGTTCTAAAGTAGAATTCACATTCTGTTCCCAGGTATTGGGGGTTAAGGGCTATTACCCATATAAATATTAAAAATCTGTTTGTTGAGATATTGATATACCTTGTTGTTTCAGTCATTCTGGTAAAGGTGCTTGTTCTTTTTTAATCCTCATAGTTATTCCCTGAAGTCATTTGTATAAGCATAATGTCCTTGCTCCTGAACATCTCAATAATTGATAACCTGATTTTATTTGCAGCTGTATGTGTAAATTTTGAAGATGATCCATCTGCTGATTCCATCCCATTGGCAAAGCAAATATTTGTACATCCTCCCAGTGCTAGCCGAATGGTGCTTCCAGATGGTAGATACATGGCATACAAGGAACGGGGTGTTCCACCTGATAGAGCTAGATTTTCAATTATTGCTCCTCACACTTTTCTTTCCTCCCGGCTTGCAGGTTGTTTCTAAGTTTTAAGCTTTAAGTCATAGTGGTTTAATTGAATCAAATTTGGTGTCAAATTGTAGTTTATGCACAACCAAGCATTTCACTTGTGCTTTTCATCTCCAATTTTAGGAATACCTGGAGTTAAGCATTCCCTGCTTGAAGAGTTTGGTATTCACTTGTTGACCTATGATCTTCCTGGTTTTGGTGAGAGTGATCCTCACCCCAACAGAAATCTGGAATCCTCTGCAACAGATATGTCTTTTCTAGCAGATGCTCTGGGCGTTAAGAAGTTTTGGGTTGTTGGTTACTCAAGTGGAAGCTTGCATGCTTGGGCTGCTCTAAGATACATTCCTGATAGACTTGCAGGTATTAATACTCCCTCTGCCCCATTCCTAATAGACTTGCAGGTATTATTTCTTTAAATTACAATTTTATGCAATTGTAGCTTCCAGTAGCAAAGTAGCACGTTTTCCCCCAATTATTATTTTGAACTAGAACAAACTTGGATTTTTGTTAATTATGTTAGAATGAAAAACACTTATAAATTTCTTGTTATTATATATGGCTATTTGTGTCACGTCAACACAAAGTTTTTCTGAATGAACAAGTTTCTGTTTAAGTGTGCCATACATATTGGTCTTGATCTTTCAAGTAGTGATCTGCAGGCGCAGCGATGTTTGCCCCCATGATAAACCCATATGATCCCATCATGACAAAGGAAGAGAGGCGAAAAACTTGGGGGAAGTGGAATAGGAAAAGAAAATTCATGTACTTTCTTGCTCGGAGGTTTCCGAGACTTCTTGCTTCCTTTTATCAGCGAAGCTTTCTATCAGGAAAGCATGGCCAGATTGATAGGTGGTTGTCATTATCTCTTGGAGAGAGGGTGAGTTAAACTAGGTTTTCCCTACACTTGTCCATGCGTAGATTTGATATTCGTATGACAAGAAATGTTTTATTGTTCCATATTATCTCCACTGACCTTCACCTATATCCCGGACTTCATGCAAGACATCACCCCAAATATAAATAATCCCTGGTATGATACTTTAAAAAGTAATAACGTGGTTGATGCTGATATGATTAGAGAAGGACATCTGCAGATAATATACATAAGATGAGAGGAAAAGTATTGCACTCAGAGCACATACTTCAAAATGCTTAGATCAAGTTATACATATGGGGTGCACATATTAAAGGTGTTTCTAGCTGTCTGGAGCATGTGTTGTGGATTTGTGGGTGAACTTAATACTATCTCCGATAAAAGGGCCTTGTGCGACTGCTGGAAATTGTTGCCATGCTCAAATATGATCCATGTCTGCTCACCTAAGTTTGCGGAAATGGGTCCAGGGAGTTTATGTTATACCAAGAGTTTTAAGACTTTGCTTATACATCCCATCATGAAAGATTTTGATTTCCCTGCTAGGATAAAGCACTAATGGAAGATCCAATCTATGAGGAATTCTGGCAAAGGGACGTGGAAGAGTCAATCAGGCAAAGAAATGTGAAACCCTTTGTTGAGGAATCTGCTTTGCAGGTCTCGAATTGGGGTTTCAGCCTTGCAGACCTGAAATTGCAGAAGAAAAAAAGGAGGCAAAATGTTCTCAGTTGGCTCAAGTCAATATTCCTAGCTGAAAAAGAGGAGTACATGGGTTTTCTTGGCCCAATACATATATGGCAGGTTAGCGCATCTTTATTCAATTCCTTCCCCTCCCCTCCCCTCCCCCAGCTTATAAATGGGGTCATCTGCGTGAACATTCTAATTCATATTTAACTTGAATCTTCTACATACTTTTTTAAACCTTCAAACCCTAAACTTCCGCAGCAATATTTTGGTCATTATTTTATACCATTACAGTTAGTTCTTCACTTGTCATTACGGTCTGAATTTTATAAACTTTTGCCACAGGCCATTTGCAGCCATATGTCAGCATGTTCTATTTGCCCAGAGTATCTCAGACACAATCATCCCCCACTTCTGCTTCAACTGAAGCTGTTCCTACCTTGTCTGAATATCTTAGTTTGTTGTCTTTCTTAAATTATCATGTGATTTTTTTTTCTTTAAAAAAAATATTTTTGGACGCTTGACCTCCCGAACATCGTGCTCTTGAGCTCTTTTTGTAAATTAGATACTCTATGAGAGAGCGCAGAGAGAAAGAGAGAATACAATGACTATACATCTCTTCTTTACATTTATTATTGTGTTTTCTTTTTTCTTTTGGGATTAGACATCGTGTTTTGTTTTTGTTACTTTTCAAGTATACTGCATACATTTGTTTTTATGAACATAAAAGATTGATTTTGGTGATTTTGCTTTTAGTCATATCTGGACCGGCATATGACTTGTGCCATTTCAATGCAATTTGAACAGGGAATGGAGGATAAAGTGGTTCCTCCATCGATGACTGATTTTGTGCACCGCATGCTCCCAGGAGCTGCAGTACATAAACTGCCATATGAGGGCCACTTCACCTATATCTACTTCTGTGATGAATGCCACAGGCAGATTTTCACTACGCTGTTTGGAACCCCGCAAGGACCCCTCAGCATTTCATTTGAACCAGATCAAACTCTCTCACAAGTCAATATTGAACGGTCAGAATATGAAGCAGACGCTGGTGATTCTCCCACTAATTAAAAGTACACGTAAAGGGTTACGATACTCTTTCTTCTCTTTTCCCTTACAACAAAATTTTCGTTGTATATACCAATGGAGTCGTTCGTATAGAAAAGAAAAATAAACGCATCAACGTCCTTTCCTTTGGGCTGCTGAGCTAGCCTGTTCATTGAAAAAACAACAACAGTGTAATGCTCTCCTAAGAACAACCATGATGGCATGGCACAATCCCATGTACTTTTCCTGCAACCTAGAAAGGGAACTTTTTGTCGTAATCATTACGATGGACTCTATGAATATTGACATGGTGCTTCAAATTTCTTTTTTAGGTGTGCCATGGTATTTTCACACTCCAGTTTCTTTCCTCTGGTTGGGAGCCTTGAGAGAAATTGTTTTGTTCACAATATCACCCAAAGGGATAGGTCCAAATGAGAATGATAATAAAGTCCCTTGATAAGGAATTTATGGCTGTTAGGTTTTTGATTATTTTTTTTAAAACATGAATTGCAAATATTAATTTAAATAGCTGCGAAGGAAAATCTTTAATTTTGAGCTAAGAATTATATTTACAATTTAAATGTTTTTGTTTGCAATTAGAATTCTTGAATTTATAATTGTTTGAATCAATTATTACAACTGATTTTTTTTTAAAAAAATTATTAGAGATTTAGTTGTTATAAATCATTATTTTAGGATTTTAGTATCATTTTTTAAAGGTCCTAAGAACGTGATGCCATATTGTTGCTGATCATCTAACTCCACTCTATCTAGTATCCAATACTTGCTATCGATTGTTTTCATATGATGGATAGATTAAGGTCACGTTTGTTTATTAAAATAAAATAAAATAGAATGAATTGAAAAAATCAAGATAAAAATAAATTAAATTATTCTTTCTCTAATGGTAAATATGATAAAATTTATTAATATATATTATAAATGTGAGAACTATTATACTCTTTAAAAGTTCATGAATTATAATTTCCAACCTCATGAACTAAATTACTCTTTCTTTTTATGAATGTGCTTATTTATCCCTTTTAATTATTTTATTTTTACTTTTATTTTTTCAATCCATTCTATTCCATTATATTCTAGTAAGAAAACATGAGCTAAATATGGTTTTTTTAAATAAATATTTAAATTAAATGTATTAAAAGCTAATTTTAAGAAAATAATATATTTAACATGTTTATCTACTTCTTTTGTTAGGCATTTTTTTAAGGAGTTGGATGTTTAAAAATATAAGGCATTTTTAATCTTTTAAGGTGTAATCAGTACCTTTAAAAAATGTCCCTATTGATGAATGACTTTATATTTATTGTATTGTATTTAATAGGGGTAAATATGGAAAGATAAGGTTAGTTTAAAAGTAAGTAATTACTTTATTAAAGAGTGAGATTTGATCAAAAATGCCTTACATTTTTTAATGTAGAGAGTATTTATTTGCAAGTTTTGTTTATTTAAGATAAGCTTATTTTGGAAACTTAGTTTTTTTTTTTGTATGAGGAAAAAATTTAAATCAGTACTTGCATTGACAACCCTTTAACAATTATTATTATTATTATTAAAAAATACTATTGATAATTTATTCAATTTTACTTATGATTTCATAAGGAATTAAATATCATATAAAATAATTATTTATCACCCTATTCACTTTAATTCAAAATAAAATCTAAAGATGTATTTGGTTGGAAAGTTTTGCAAGGGAGGGGACCATTTACTTGGTTAAGAAATTTTGGAAAGGGGGGAGCCAAAATAACTCCTCCCCTCCCCTCTAAATTTAAGTTGTTTTGGAGAGGAGTTATTTTTTTCTGTTTTGTCTTTATCTATTTTTTAATATTTTAAGTATACCTATAGCTAAAAAAAACTTTCATTTATATCAGATTGTGCTTTATTCTCAAATCTCAACTGACCTTATTGGATTTTTTTTAAAAAATTACAATTCATTATATTTAAGGAATTTATTTTTTTATAAAAAATTGTTATCATTATAATTATTTGTTTAATTTTTTTATTCACATGTTAACAATATGATAGAATGAGAGTGAATTTTTAAGAAATCACGCAATTTAAATTGAGGTGTAAAAGTATTTTCTAAAAGGAACAATTAAAAAAATTTTAAACTAATGTATAGGGATGAAATAGTAAATTAGTTATTATCTCTCATCCCCTCCTCTCCTGAACCCAACAAAGGATTATTAAAAACCCCTCTCCTTCCCTCCCATTCAACAAAACTAAATGAGATAATATTAAAAACCTTCCTCTCAAGTAAAAAACACCTTAAAAGAACAAACTAACCATGTTCGTAGCTGTAACGATAGTGGGAATAAACAATGAAGGAAGTAGTGACTCAAGCAAACTAATAGTATTGAGCGCGATAATAGAATCTTAAGAAAGCAATATTAATAATTTATTTGAGCTATGAAAAATGCTCCATTTACTTCAGATTGCTCTACGCATGAAGAATAGGCACAATCACACAACTAGTTATTATTATTTGTTAATATTATAAGGTTAACTAGCAATTTAAACCTAAATTATGGGTAATTTAAACTCTAAATTTGTATTTGATATATTTTAAACCTTGAACAATTAAATATAGAGCCATCTCACCCTCATTGTTAATCTTTAAGCAGGTGAGGCCTACATTTTTTTTGGTCCAAATTCTTTGTCTCTTTGCTTTTCTTCTCCCCCTTCTCCCTATCTTTTTAGTCACCCTTCTAGTTTCTATTCCCATCATCATGTTGATGATAAATCTGCTCATGCATTGCTATAGGAACTTGGAATCAGTATCATGGTGAAGGTAAGGTAATGTTGTGGTTCTTACTAAAAAAGAAAACTAAACACATTCGAGTTATTGGCTTATCCAACTCGGCAACATTCATGATTTGATTGTTCAATTGTCCCTTAGAGACACAGTCGAGAAGCACTATGCATGGTCGCCCCTCATCCTTTCTTACTCTCAATCCCATCCTGCAAGATATGAATCTACTATTTTTAGCTCACTATCTTTTATATGCTTTGGTGCAAAGCTATTTGACAAGGCTAAAGAAGTGATATGATGAATTCATGCAACTAAGGAAAACCAGGCTGACATGATGGTCCCTCTGATAAGTGCAGGGAAGCAAGTTAAGCAGGAGAGACTGAGCAAAGCCAAAGAGGATAAAGGTGAAGTGATAGCATGGATACTTTGCTTGATTTAGAGTAGATTGAAGAATGAAGAGTAAGGAGAGCTTTGAGGAGGGAGATTCACTTTCATTTCTAAGATTCGGCGATAATGGGGTGAATAATGGGATTCTAAACTTCTTAGTGATGATCATTGCTTGTGAAAGAGAGGATATTTAGTGGTTAAAGAAGAAATGGAATGGTAATGATTTTAAATTCACCACATTATTTTGCAAAGTTGAGCAATATTGATGAAGTGACCTATTATGAAAATTTGATGTCAAAAAATTTCTTGCAAGGAGGTGTTATGGTGTAGTGCATGAAAGAGGTGTATTGATTTTGATATTATTTTTCCACAATTTTTTTCTTGCAAGGAGATGTTATGTTAGAAAACTTGACATCAAAGGAGGCTTTGCTCTGCTTGCTTTCATGAAAGCAGTATGAAGTAATGAGAAAGAGGTAAGGAGAGGAAGGGAGGAGAGAGGTAAAGATGCACTGAGATAGAGAATGTGGGCCCCACTTTATTAAAGTAACATTTATTAGTTACAAATTAACAGTGAGGGCAAAATTGTTTCGTATTTAATTATTCAGAGTTCAAAATATATTCAATACATCAAAATATATCATATAACCTATTTGGTAATTGGTATGGTGGAATTGAAGGGAGAGAAGCGAAAGTGAAATTGAATTTTTTGTGTTTGGCAGGCACAGAATAGGCTTCTTAGTGAAAGCAAATTCTATCAAATCCATAAGGTTGGATTAACTTTCATGGAATCATTAATAAAATGACAATTATGCCATTGCTTATCACATTTCAAACAATCTAATCCCTTAATTATTTTAACCCTACCCTAATTGTCGACCTCTTTCCTTTTGCCTTACCAACCTAATCTCTATCGGCAACTTTGTCAATGACCAACTTCTCTTACTTTATCTTCCTCCCATTCTTCTCTTGTGTCATTTCCTTTCTTCCTTTCCTTCACTCCCACTTTCATCTTGCTTGGTGTAACATCTTGAAAATTAACTAAAGTAAATGAGAGTAAATAAGTAAATGTAAGTGGTCTTGGGTTAGTGGATGGTTTAGAGAGAGTTAATGGACCTATTAGGTGGTGGTTATGGCCTTTTAGATTGAGTCTAGAGTGAAGTTGGGCTACTTGAACCCTAATGAAGGAAGAAAACATAAATTACACTTTGTCACACTATCCATTGAGGCATGTGTTACATGCGCCATGGTGTATAGTCCTAAAATAAGAGTAACCTCTCTGTACTATCTACCATGACCTATACTACGTGCGCCACGATGCATGACTGAAATTCTAAATAAAGAACAAGTTTAATATTTAAATTCTAGAAAGGAGGAAAAAGAGTTTGAGTAAGAGGGAGGAGGAGCACAAGTTTTGGGCTACTGGGGCACCTATTGATGGGAGTTTTAAGAGGATTAGTGTTTTTAATTGCTAAGGTGAGTCTTTCCTATTCCTCTTCCTTTCTATACTATTTCTAAGCTAGAGCTTGTAGTTGGAAAGTAATTTTCAGACCTTTAGGGTTTTAGGTATGAACCCATTGACCTAAATAGAGTTAATAAGAGTTATTTATGTTATCTACTCTAAGGTTTAAGGATTTAATGCTCTTATTTGGTTGGGTCTTCATTAATGGCTGAAAATGAGCATTTGTGATAGTGGTTGGGTAAGTTTGGAAGTTGTTTAACGCTATTAATAGTGAATAAAGGGTTTAATAAAGTTAGTTTAGGCTAAAGGAATTAATAAACCTATAATTTGTGCTTAAATGCAAGAGATTGAGATTTTGGGATGATAGAGTTCTGATTAATGCGAGTGAAATTGTGTTAATGATAATATTAATAGGTATTAGTATGATTAATTGCAGATTAATTATCTTTTACACCATTCAAGCTTTGATAAAACTTTGGAAGTACTTGTGTATGAGGGTTAAATCTTTGATTTTTCAAAAGTTTGAGATAATTAAGAAAAATTTAGATTATGTATTTATTGTTTAATTGGTTATAGAAGTTTACTAACTATTTTCAAAATATGTGAAATTGCTTCAATGCAAATGTGCCATAATATGATTGTATTATGTGATAATTGTTATAAGTGAGCTTTATGAAAATCTAGTTATATGTACTTAAAAACATGTTGAAAGAATTATGAATTATCATGATAATGTGTTATAGTGGAATAAGTGCTAGTCTTTGGCATAAGCATTTGACATGGGATATGATAGCAAGATGATTAATGATACGATGAGTATGATGCTTGAGAATGTCCATGCCTTGAATATAATATTTGAAAATTTACATGCAATGGATGTGTTTTGAGAATGTGTATGATATGTGATAAGCATGTGTTAAATTTGCATGATCATGATTGGCGGGAGTTACAAACCCACGTGGTACGGTTGCCATCTAGAGCTTGATGTTTTGCCATTTATTTATTTCCCCACCTGTTCAATAAAGGACTGTCATATGATTTATTAAGGAACTCAAACCTAATTACTATTTATTTGTTTAATGAGGAGACTAATTTAAGGTTATGATACTTGGCTCAGGAGCCAAGGGAGAAAAGATAAAACACTCTCACTTTGATAAAAAACTTGTATTATTCTTTCGTGGTTTTGAATACAATAGAATGAAAGCTATCTATACTAGTCTTAAGTAGGTAAAAAATTAATACAAATGGAGAAGTTATGGAATAACTTAATTTTAAATGGAAAGGGTTACAAGATTTAAAAGTACTTAATAGCACTTATTGGGAGCTTATAGAAGTTACAAACACTTCTTATAATTTATGAATAGGAAAGTTACAGAAATAGTAAGGGTTATGGAGATGGAGCACTCAATTCTATCTCAATACCCCAATAGTTAATTTGAGGGAAATCATGGTCTAGAAATGCCAACAAAATAAGGGAAAATTTCAATGAGGGCTTCTTGACTAGACTTAATTTCAATCAAAGTCTTTAAAATTCTAAAATTTCATGACATATGTGGAGGATTGAAATGAAATTAAAGAGTTGACTGAAATGATTTCATTCTCCTGGTAAAACTAGATGTATGAATAATTCATGTAGGAAAATTAACAACTGAGTATAAAAAATAAAAAATTGATGTAGGTGAAATTTGCAACTCTCATTAACAGTATAACATTATTATAAATATAACAAATAAAGCTAGACGCATGAACAACTCGTGTATGAAAAATGAATAATTGACATAGGTAGAATGAAAGTTGCAAATTCATTGTAGTGTTATACTATATATATCAGTTATTCATTCTCTATACATTGGTTATTAATTTCTTATATGAGTTGTTCATGTACTTAACTTCACTAGAAATAATAAAATCATTTCAATCAGAATTTTAATTTTATTTCAGTTTTCCACATCTGTAATTAATTTCATAATTTAAAAGGTTTTGATTGAAAATAAGTTGAGTCTAGGTTCCTCACTGAAATTTTTCCACAAAATAAAGCTTGTGCTATAGCACCAAAAACGACGTCGGTGTCCTATTCACCGGGACTCCGTTCTCTCAAACAATCGCGTGTGTTTTAACATAGGACACACAGCGACCTCCGGAGAGCGCCGTGTGGGCGCTTCGAACTTTCGCGTTCTTCGCATGGTAAGTTGCCAAGTTCCCACGTATACAAACGTTGCTGCTGGCCTCCACCAACTACTTGAATGTCAGCGACGCAGAGGATCGTCTGCGCTCTTTCTCACTCTTTCCCTTGTTCACTTCCTCCTATTTCGTCTTCCTCCTCCTTCAAATCTCCTTCTCTTCTCTTCCTTCCCTTCTCTCGTCATCACAGGATTCTAGCTCGCTCTGTGCTTATCTTTCCTTCACCAATGCCTCTCAATCAGGTTTGTAATTTGCTGCTGAATCTCTCTCATATTTCAGTGTGCGATGTCTTCTGCGCGCGCTTTTATTGGTGTTGCACTTATTGTCGCGTTGGACTGCCGTTGAATTGTTGCTATAATGACTGATCAGTGCTAGTTCTAATTGCGATGAAAGATGCTTATATTATCCGTGATGGTTTGTTTGGTGATTGAAGCTCCTTCTCTTACCTTCCATCTGTTCTTTCAGTTTATATTTTCATAGTTTAAATTTGTTCTGTTTCTTTGTCACTGAACAATTTTGAACTGTCACGCTATATCTTGTTTTGTTCTAAATTGTAAGCGTTGTGAGGCAAGTTCGTTTTCACTTAACTGCAGCTCATAATTTACAAGTGGTACCGAATACGCTTAAGGTTACTAGTGTTGTTTAAAATTTAAGTTGTTTGCGCTTTATTTATTTATTTATTTATTTTAATTTAGTCCATGTTTCTTTGTAGAGAGCTGGTCGGTACAAAGAACCAAAGTGGCAAGAGAAGCCTAAAGCTGACAGGATTTCATCGGCCACCACTGATGCAGCAGGTGCCGCTGTTGAAACTATTACTCACAGACTGTCTGAAATGCATGTCGCTAAAAATAGTGGCCAAACCAGTGTTCCAGCTGCAGCCATACAGTTTGGAGGCGTCCAAACTGTTAGTCAGTTCACTGTGCATGGTTCAAAGACAGCCTGGAAACCTAAATCCTATGGAACAGTAAGCGAAACCACAGTAGATAAAGTTGATGCAGAAGTGGCTTCAACTAAAAGTAGTATTGCTGGTTTGAGTAGGAATGATCTGATAGAAAATTTTACGGTGGACAACTCCACTTACTCACTTGCCCGCATAAGAGCTACTTTCTACCCCAAATTTGAAAATGAAAAGTCTGATCAAGAGGTATATTCCTTTTTTATATTGTTTCATTTCTAATTTTCTCATCTTTGTTCAAATTTGTTGAAATATGTCATGTACACATTTGAAGCACTTTCCTCGTGAGCCTGGTCTTCAAACTATATGCTCACAAGTCACATCACATGGTTGCTTTCTAGGAAATTTTACAGACAAAGTAGTACAGTTTATAAGGAAGCTTCTGTGCTGGGTTAAGCTTTTTGGAACGGATTCTAGATTGTAGAGAGGCTGAAAGAAACAATTTTAAAAACATTATTTTTCCTCTCCAAGTAGTTTTCTTTGCAATTGAGGATTCTTCGTTGACATTCAAACCAAATGCTATGAAATGAAGCTGAAGCGATCTTCCAATTGCTGATTTTGTTTCCTAGCATCAGAATCACTCCTCCAACTACATTCATAGATGCAGCTGCCACAGATTGTTAAGCCTAGATTCTTTAAAATGACCTTCATAACCCTATGATTACGATCTAGCGTTGAATGTGGTTATCATTTCTTTGAAGCCATTTTATGGCTGTGAAGTTCAAACAAACTATAAAATATTCCGTTCCTGTTATCTTGGCTGTACCCGACTCAGATTTTGCACCAATTTCCTTGGTAGTTTTTTCTATTGCTCATATTACTGCAAATTGTGTTAATCAGTATTGAGATCAATTTTTGTTTCAAGCAGTTGCCCATGCCATTTTATTTTTAGAATTGTTACTGATTTATATTGCTATGTCCCTGCAGATCAGGGCAAGGATGATTGAGATGGTATCTAAAGGTTTGGCTACCTTAGAGGTATTATGGTGCTTAACATTTTTTTCTTAGTCAAATTGAAAGATTGTTTTAGTTTCTTTATCTGAGTTTTAGTATTAAAAATTAGACTACCTGATAAACCTCTATTTAATGAATTTTCATGTGTTGGACTAAATTGAGTTAATTTGCAGGTCTCACTTAAACACTCTGGTTCCCTTTTTATGTATGCTGGACATAAGGGTGGAGCTTATGCCAAAAACAGTTTTGGGAACATGTATGAATGATGTCTTACCATTAGTTTTACGTTATTTTGTAGTTTTAATTTTGAAATTTGGTTTTTATTTGCCATAATGGTCATCAAAAAATACCCCCTCTGGTCCTATCAGTAGGACACTTTTTTAAAGTAATTTTTGGTCTAAAATGTAGGATACTTTCTAATATTTAAATCACTTTTTCTAATTTTACTCTTTTTTGATTAACGTGAAGGTATTTAATATAATTGTATCATTATTAAAAGTCGAGGGTTAAAAAAAAAAAGTATATCAAATTTTTTATGGTATCAAGAAAAAAGTAACTTGTCTTAAGATACGTGAAATGGTTGAAATAATCTTACAATAAGGACCGGAGGGAGTATATCATATGAGAAATTTTGTTTATGACATAAAAAAATATTTTATCCATGATGGAATTCTTGATTTCCATGATGCTCAGTTTCTGTTATTACATTGATCCAGGTGCTGAACTTCATTTCTCCAACGGAGTTTTTGATTGATTAGTATTTAATTTATGAATTAGAGTTTATTTTGTTTTTGATTGGTGGGGTGATGTTTATTATATTTAGGATAACTATGCTTGTTAGGAGTTTTAGTTATGTTATCATTGTGTTCATGTTACCACTTTGGAGCCTACATTCTTATCAATATGACTTTTTTAGACTATTCTTTTTTCCACATTTTTCTTATTATTTAAATTCATTGAGAATATTCAAAGCTCAATTTCAATCTCCCTATGCCACATTTTGTGCTTGGATTTCCCCCGTTTATCTTTATCTTCAAACCAAAACTTAGTTTAGTGTGCCATTATCCAAATTGACTAGAAAATACACTAACATCCCTGAGCATCTAGTAGATCGTGGAAAGTCACCCTTAAAAACTGGCTTGTAATGGGAAAGAATTATGCGTCTTGAGTACCTTAAGAATTACTTGCAGCTCAGCAATGTGTCACTTCATTCTCAAGGGGTGTGTTCTTTTCTAGAGGAAAATAATGCAGATCCTTTATTTATTTAATAGAATTTTTATTTGATTAGAATCTTATTTGGGGTGGATAATGGTTATCCATATTTAGGATAAGTATTTTTATTTAGAGCTTTAGTTACAGTTAGAATTTTACTTGTGTTCCAATTTTATTTACTTTATTCTTATTAATTATTACCTCATTAGTGGGACAAGGTTTCTTTTTGTTGTGCTCTTATTGATTTTTTGAGTCTGGAGAGTTTTTTTTTTTTTTTGAGTTTTTCTTATTCATTCTTCACCATATGTATTGCTGTGTTCTTCAAATTATTTTGCTTTTCAGATTATATTTATAATTGTAATGTTATTTTGCCTGGCACAGATATACTGCCGTGGGTGTATTTGTTCTTGGACGGATGTTTCGTGAGGCTTGGGGTACTGGAGCATCAAAAAAGCAAGTCGAATTTAATGAGTTTCTTGAGGTGATACTCTAAAAGGGAACCCAAAAAAAAAAAAAAAAAAGATTGGACATGTTAGCATGCGATAGGCTTCTTTGATAGCACTCATTAAAGCATCTCCAAGGATGAAACAAATTAGTAAAAGTTGGAAAGATCCATCTCCAGTAGTAAAATGTTACTTAATCATGCTCTGTGAAAGCTTTATATGACATTACATGTCTGCAAAATTCAGGGGTAAGATGTGATTGGGGTATAAGATCTGCTAACCAACAGCGGATTTAATTTACATTTTTCATGTAAATTCTGCATGCTTAATTGGACAGTGTTTCATATGTTAAAAATTGCTTTAATGTGGAAGTTGTATTCTTTTCTTCAACAATGCTTGTTAACCTGAATTTCCTTCAATTGCTCCTACCTCTTGTGTTTTTGGGTTATTTTCTAAATCATTTGTGTGATTTATGATCAAAATTTTTTAATGCTTGGCTGGTGAAATGTTTTGCATTCCTTTAAACACAGGTTTCTGATGATTCTATTTTCTGCTTTTCTTGTTCTTGGAAGTTGGAACTTGACGTACTTGTTCTTGCTCTCTTTTTGGTTGATTTATTTTCTCACTCCTGGCATTTACTTTTGAGCTTATACATCCCTTATATTCAATCACTTTTCCTAGACTTATTTTTCAATCTTATATCCGCTTTTTTGTTGTAATTGACACATTTGACTAGCTGTGAGTCATGTTTAATGGACCTTATCATTATTTCCTCTTTCAGAGAAACCATATGTGCATATCAATGGAACTAGTAACTGCTGTTCTTGGAGACCATGGACAGCGTCCCAAGGAAGATTTGGTTAAAATAAATTTTCATTTTATTGATTTAGAAATTCCTGGTATTTTGTTCCATCATTCCATGTGGTGTCCTTTTGAGTGTTGTTTAGTTTAATCAGTGAAAGGAATTACTTTTGTATTCTGCATAGGATTTTAATTGAGGCCAGGTTAATTGCTTGTGGTTATGAGTTATGACCATCATTGTCGAACTCACCAGTCAACTTGGTTGATTTGGTGAGTTGGGGCAATTCTACTGAAGGAAAATGAACTGAGTTGCTCATGAACTTGCAGCGTTAAAGACCACTCATAACTTGTTGAAACTGACAAGAATTTTTTGACTCACTCACAAACTCATTGAATGAGTGAGTTAAATACATTACATGAATTTGGCACGGTCACCCTAGGAATTGTTGAACACGGGACAGGTACAGATTCCATTATTTTTCATTTGAGATTACTTCCATATAAAATTTAATAGCTATTTATTAATATTTATCAGTGAAGATAAACTCTTTGGAGAATACATTTAGTTACCTTTTCTTTATGAATTTATATAATTTCACAAGTTCAATACATTGACTCTAGATTTAGATGCTCAATTGTTGGTTGCGGATGTAGACAGTGAAATATGGTTGTAACCATAACTGCAAATTCCAAGTGTTGTTGTGTCCAAAACTTATATTATTTTATATCAAACAGACTAAGAATGGTTGGTGTAGATCTCTATGTAGCTGCAGCAGGTATCTGATCTGCATGGTTTACTTTGAGTTTGATTGAAAGCTTCATGTTCTAGACTTTTCTGTTGCATTTGAAAGAACTGATGAAAATTTTGTAGTAGCATTTGAGTTTCTTTTGACATGTAATGTTCTACTCTTTTAGTAAGTAAAGCATGCTTCAAAAAATAGTGGTTTTCAAAATTTATTTCATGCTCAATATTGGGTGGAACTATTTTTATATAATAATGCTATTTTATTTCTTTTTTTGAGCAGGGTAGTCACTGCTGTCACTGAACTGGGCAAAGGAAGGCCAAGTTCTATTCAACTCCTGAGATAATTGCTTTCTGCAGAAAATGGCGCCTACCTACAAATCATGTGTGGTTGTTTCTACAAGGTGAAAATTTAGGGGTTGCGTTACTTTAACTGTAAACTAGACATGATTTTCTTTGCATTGCATGGAATTTGAGAAATGAACTGCCCTATTCAGGTTTATAAATAGTATGGCTTGCTATAGGCACACTTTTTGTGCATTGCACAGCAGCTTAAATGTATAGTGTATGCCTCACAATGCAGGCATACTCAAATGATTAGAGAGCATTAGAAGTTCTGTTTCATTTCTACTTGTCACTGGTTTGCATATTATCGGGTTCCTTGTCTTTCATAATGAATGTCAATGGTCTTTGTAACTTAATTATTATGTTCTTAAACTTGTTATACTTTTGGCATAGTTTTTTCATCTTGAGATAGTCAGATTTATATAATGGTCAACTTTTTGGCCACAAGTGTTTCGACAATCAATGGGTTAATTGGGTCATTGTTACACAATTTTCTCTTGTTGCCATACATACATGCTGTAAGATATTTCCACTTATTTTATAAGTGTTGAATGCTTCTCTTCTGTTATTTTTAAAGCATTACACTTAGATGTTGATTTTTCTTGTCAAATCAATCTGGTTTTAAAGTCTGTCAGAGCATAATAAAGAATTTTTGGTCTTGCTTTTCTCTAAATGCAGGAAATCAGTTTCATCCTTCTTGGCTGCCTTTGATGCCTTATGTGAAGAGGGTACGCTACTCCTGTATGTAAGGCTCTTGACGAGATTGCTGATGTATCCATACCAGGTATGGTTTTAAGGGTAACATAGTTGATGAATTTGACCTTTGTGTCATAGATCATATGTTT